CAGATATGTCCAGTGTGGTGGCACATGGGATAAGAGCAGAGTCGAAATAGTATAGCATTGTAGGAGAGGTAAAGACCATGACCCTTCACAAAACAACAAAAATAGAACCCCCCCCCCACAAAATGTGAAAGATCATTAAAAAGAAAACATTCTGACAGAAAGGATCTAAATACATGTGCTTAGATGGGAAAATTGTGAAGTTGCCAGTTAATCCATCAACTTAGCCCATTTCAATTAAAACCTTAAAAACAGATTCTTCAATGAATGATATTAGTGTAATTAATTACAACTTCAGAGAAAATTAAGGTATGAGGGCTAGCTCAAACCAAATGTACACACACATGCACACAAACACAAACAACTAGTAGGTTAACAAAGCAGCTTACTTTGAAAGCAAACTATTGGTATTAGAAGGAAATACAGTCAATGTCTTCTAATAACCTTGGGCTGTCAAAGACTGTCCTGAGTAAAAGAAAAATATAGAGTTCAACAGAAAAACACTGAAAGGCACAGAAATCATAAATTCCTGAATGACCAAATACATCACACAAAAGGAAAATCAAGGGAAGTGTTGAAAGAAACCATGGTGATTTCAACATGTAACAATAGCCTTATTTCAAATGTGGACAATGACTACAGTGTAAATTGTAGAGCAAGTCTATATATAGAAAATAAACTTGCTTTCTCTTGCAAAATAAGGCAGTTTTGGTGAGGGAATAAACCAGTCCCATTTTGCTTGGCGCTAAAGCAGGCAGGGCAGGGGGTTCCTAACTTTCCTGCGGACCAGAATGCATCCTGAGATGGTATCAGAGGATACCTGATACCTGCTCACAAGCACCAGCACACCCTCCCTGACAACACACACACCCCACTTGCCACGGACGACCCAGTAACCCAGAGGGTCCCTGAGTCAGTGAGGGGTTCCTGGGAGAAAGGGGTGTGCCCCAAGAGGAATTCCACAGCAGGAAGCCACAGAGGGGCTGCTCAGCTGGGGGCATGAGGTCCCAGAGGCACCAACTGTATCATGAGAATGGAGTGATAAGTGGTGCCGTGTTGACAGGTTATCTGCTTGGAAAAGGAGTCAGTTTGGATGACAGCTCCCACCTTGCACAAAGGGGAATTCCAGGTATATCCTTGAGACAAGCCTTGAAGTGGAAAGGTAAGAAAGAATTAGGAAGCCACAGAGGAGACTCCTTTTGTAAAGGGGAAATGGATACACACACATGCACACAAACACAAACAACTAGTAGGTTAACAAAGCAGCTTACTTTGAAAGCAAACTATTGGTATTAGAAGGAAATACAGTCAATGTCTTCTAATAACCTTGGGCTGTCAAAGACTGTCCTGAGTAAAAGAAAAATATAGAGTTCAACAGAAAAACACTGAAAGGCACAGAAATCATAAATTCCTGAATGACCAAATACATCACACAAAAGGAAAATCAAGGGAAGTGTTGAAAGAAACCATGGTGATTTCAACATGTAACAATAGCCTTATTTCAAATGTGGACAATGACTACAGTGTAAATTGTAGAGCAAGTCTATATATAGAAAATAAACTTGCTTTCTCTTGCAAAATAAGGCAGTTTTGGTGAGGGAATAAACCAGTCCCATTTTGCTTGGCGCTAAAGCAGGCAGGGCAGGGGGTTCCTAACTTTCCTGCGGACCAGAATGCATCCTGAGATGGTATCAGAGGATACCTGATACCTGCTCACAAGCACCAGCACACCCTCCCTGACAACACACACACCCCACTTGCCACGGACGACCCAGTAACCCAGAGGGTCCCTGAGTCAGTGAGGGGTTCCTGGGAGAAAGGGGTGTGCCCCAAGAGGAATTCCACAGCAGGAAGCCACAGAGGGGCTGCTCAGCTGGGGGCATGAGGTCCCAGAGGCACCAACTGTATCATGAGAATGGAGTGATGAGTGGTGCCGTGTTGACAGGTTATCTGCTTGGAAAAGGAGTCAGTTTGGATGACAGCTCCCACCTTGCACAAAGGGGAATTCCAGGTATATCCTTGAGACAAGCCTTGAAGTGGAAAGGTAAGAAAGAATTAGGAAGCCACAGAGGAGACTCCTTTTGTAAAGGGGAAATGGGGAAGGCCATCCCAAGCCACACACAAAAGCAAGAAGCAATAAGGGAGAATGAGCCTTCTGGGGAAGAGGAGGGCCTGAGCAAAGTGAAGGGTGTGTGTGTGTGTGTGTGTGTGTGTGTGTGTGTGTGTGTGTGAGACAGAGTGAGGTGATGCATGTGGCATGAGGATCAGACAAGGGACTGGCCGATGCCCGGCAGGGCTGTGCTACAGTGCCCATCCCATCTTAGACCAAGTACTGCCCCAGGAGAGAGGCGGGGGCCAGTGCTCCACACCGCTGTCAGACTCTTAACCAAAAGTGCTGTGGTGGTCCAGCAGGGAGATTGACTTGGTGAGGGCTGTGCCTGTCCCCAGTGACACTTCAAAGAGAGGGCACTGTGGTTGGAACTGCCCCAAGCGTGGCACGAAGGGCCCCACGGGGATGCAGTCTGGGAGATGCAGGGGGTGTACCAGGCAGGAAGCTGGATGCCTGCAAGCCACCCAACCTGGGCTTATGTCAGGGAGGGGTGGGGTGGGAGGGGGTCATATAACAAAGTTCCCAGGACAGGAAGCAGGCTGGGAGGGTACTGGAAGTTGGTGTACAAGTTCGTACCTACAGGCACAAATGTAGACAAGATAATGATGAAGAAGGGAAAGCAGGGCTCCTTCTGGAGCGGCTGGAAGACAGTGTGTGGAGGCACTTCCAGACTTACCCAAGACGCAGCTTTGGCTGGGGCAGTCCCATCAGGGCAGGCACCCCCCACAGAGTGTGATAAGCTCAAGCTTTGAGAACCCGGGCTAATGTTTGCCACAGGGAAACCCAGCAAGAAACTCGGTGGATTGTAGCAGACAGGTGGGCCTAAGTTTGTGCTGGGTGGTCCCCTGCTGTCTCATTTTTGAATTAAGCATGGCAGGGGTGGCAGGCTCCTTAGTCTTTCCAGTGCTGAAAGCCTCTGACTGTGTTCCTCAGGCCCTGACTGCAGGCATGCCTCTCGCTCCAGGTCCCTCCACATCTGAAGGCAGAACCTACGGGGAACTGGGCTCCTGCCCTGGCACAGCAGCCGGCCAAGGGCAACTGAGGCCAGCCAGGGCCCGGAGCTTCCCCACACAGGGAGTGTTTCAGGGAGGGCAGTGCCAGCTCATGGAGAGGGGTCGTGACTTGGGCCAAGACCCCACCATGGAGACACTTCAGGGCTGGCAGGCTGTCCAGTGACAAAGGTGCTCAGGAGGTGGGCAGAGGCCTCCCAGGCCCTGCCTGAGATCGGAGTGAGTTGTGGTCTGAGAGGGCCTAGTGCCTGCCTCGGAGGTGGTGGAGCACTGCCTGTGGCGGGACTCAAGCGGGGACTCTGCAGAGTGCAGAGGAGGAAGGAAGCACGTGGTCATTTGGGACGCCAAGCCAGGAGCAAGCAGAAATGCTGTGGTTAGGGCAGAGATCACTGAGGCTGAGCAATAAGGTGTTGCTGAAGATGCCCCTGGCCAGCAGGCTCCACTGGACAAGTGGATGAGGGGCTGCCTGAGGGCAGTCCTGCCTGGGAAACAGACTGCCCCGCCCACCTGAGGCTGGCTCAGCTGGGCTCCCACAAAGGGAGGATCAGGCAAGTAGCTCTTAGAAAACAGGGCCCCAGAGCCAGCAAACGAAGCCCCAGCCTGGTGAACCTTGCTGGGGCTGTGGTGTCACAGCAACCACAGTCACATGCTGGCCAGCAAGGCACCAGGGCCCAGGAAGGGGCAGAGTTCTAGCAGGCCCCCATGATCACTAGGCAGCCCAAACTGTGTGGGGGAATGAGTACAAGCAGGAGAGTGGCACCCCACCTGCACCCCCCTGCCCCAGTCTCCAGGAGAAGGGAGGGAAACACTGAAATAAAACTGTGCTCTGCACGGTCAAGGGCATTCAGAAGGCAGTACACGGGGACATCACTGATGACCAGGGCACAGTGTCCCAGAGCCACACCCCAGGGGGACCAGGAGAAGGCACTGGGCTCACAGGAAGCACTGCTCAAAGGAAGCTTCTTGTCCCCTACGTGAGCCTGGCCTTTGAGGAGGAGGACCACTTCATGACACATCAAAACACCCAGGGAACCTGCTGACCCGGGGCTGAGGCTTGCTGGGAGGGGTCTGGAAATGTGGGCAGGGGCGGTGGAATGAGTTGCACAGATTCATGGAGCTTTCAGTGTGCAGAGCCACATTCTTCCTTTCCTCCCAGGGAAGCTTGCATGGACGGCATGAACATGTGTCCTTCTGGGTGGACCGGCCGTGGCCATGCCACGCCCCTCAGCATCTGCCCTCCCACCCCCTCGGGGATCCGTGGACGTCTCCATTGTCTCCTTCCTGGATCCCACAGAAGTACCCGGAGAGGGCAGAAAAGAGGTTCCCCAGAGGAAGCAAGGGCCAAGCCTTCTCGCTCGGCCAGGAATTTGGGCTTGGTCTCCCAAGGAAGGGAGGAGGCCTGCAAGTAGGTTGCACAGCTGCTTCTCAGGAGAGAGAACAACACCAAGCAGGCCCTCAGCGAGTAGCAACTGTTACTGCTATAATTGTGCATTAAATGTCAGGGATGGGTTGCCCAGTGGGACGACAGGGACGCACAGACCAACCCAAGGGTACTGACCTTCCTCTCTAGGCCAGCAGGTGAGGAAAGACACCTTCATCGAGGGAAGGATTTCTCTGCATCAGGCACTGTGCTGCCTGCTTCAAGGTGTTGCCTCTTCTAGTCCTCCCAAAAGTCCTTCTTAATCCTACCCCTCACCCCCTTCCCTGCCCCAGCCCCTTCTGGAGGCTCCTCCTGAACCCTGCAGCCCATCTCTTCCCCAGCCTCCTGTGGGCACTGCTAAGTGGGCATCTGTCAGGAGCAAATGCCCCCAGTCAGTTAGCACAGATCACGTATTTTGGTCTTTCCCCTCACGCAGACTAGAGATTCAGAAACAAGTACCGTGTCTCATTTTTGCCAGTTAAAGCACACAGCTTTATTGATGATACATAAAAATGCAGACTTGGTGGACGAGGTTAAGTCAGTACAGCACATAGAAGAGGAGTGTACTTTTTTGCTCAATAAGTATCGTTCATAGGCTTGCAAAGAAAAGAGAGTAAAGGGAAAGAATCCCATCTAAGCAGCAACTGATACATTTTTGGCACAAGCCCCCATATGGGTCTGGTCTCCCCAACATGGTCCAGCTTAGACACAGAGACCACCACAGGCCAGGCATCCCCACTGAGGCTAGAACATGTTGTTCTTTAACCACAGCTGGCAGCTGAAAGGACCTCTTTACCACAGGAAGAAGGCTGCAAGGGAGCAATTTACAATGCACATTGCCTGCAGACTGAAAAACCAAGAGGTTACTCAAAGCTCTGTGGGAACCCCTGCACAGTTAAGAGTGTGGTCCTGGATTTAGCAAGTGCAACTTTCACCCAGAGATGTGCTGATCCAGCTAAGGCTGGGTCTTCGATAGCACCCACTGCAGAGTCTTTGAGAACACAAGTGTGTGTTCACCCACTGACTGGGCTTTGTTTTGGAGTGGATCAGTCCCACCCTGTTGGAGGGGCCACTTAAGAGGCCAGGGTTTCTGAGAGAAGCTGTCTGTTTGTGTTCCTGATAAAGAGGGGCAGGAAGGGGCATAGCGCTTGGGCTCTCAGCAACTCCCCTGACAAGGCTGGCTTTTCAGACAAACCCGTCAGGGGTTTCACAACCTGCCCCTCAGCACATTCACTTCCCTCTGGTATCAAAGGAAACATCAAGCCTGAAACGGACTTGGCAAGCATGTTATTAATAACTGTCATGCTTATTAACAAATTTACTCCAGCCTGCTGCAGAAATGAGCTGCAGCAAAGTGACACAGTCTCCCGACACACTTGGCTGATGCACATCTTCATCTGGCCCTGATTTTCAACACTGGCATTCAAGTTATCCGGGGCACACAAAGCCTTTCCCTCCTCAACAGCAGGGTCGGGAGTCGGGATTGTGTTTCCAGCAATGGAGAGGCTGGCCAAATCACTGTTGATATCACGGCTAAGTGAAAAACTGGCATCCTTGGGCTCAGCTAACAACACTTTTCCCTGAATGAAAGGGCCCTTGGAGAGGCCAAGAGCCAACTGAAATTTTTAATATCTTAAGCATCACTTAAAAAATAGTCTTCTTTTTCATTAGGGAAAATGTGATTTTTCTTCATTCAGGCCCTTTCCTCTTTGACAGACCCTAGGTTCTTACTGCCCATGTCACATGTCAGCCTCATCCCCAGGATTTGGCATTTCCTGGATCTTTGAATCCAGACCCCTTATCCACCCTTATTCATATGCAGTTCCCTACAATTCTGCTTGTTTCTCACTGCGCTTACATCGTCTTCTGATTAGTGGGTGAACTGTAGCAACTTCTAGTTCCATCCTCTAGAACTGCTTTTGCTAAATCACAAACTGAAGCACACTTTATATCTGTGACAAGTCACAGGAGGGTCTCACTCTTTTAAAAAGCCATCTTATTGTAGTGTTCTGTAGGAGACTGTTGGATGTTCTTTCCCTGGACACAAACTTCACTAACTGCCATTCAACAGGTTACTAGGGAAAATGCAAATACACAGAGCTTTCTTGAGTCTCTGTAGATATACATGTCAACGCTCAGCTCAGTTGATTTTCTGGCATCAAATTCCTGTTAATTTTCAAATGTCTCTCCTCCGGCATTTATCTCCGTTTAGCTGGTTCCCACTGTTTCTTCAGGGGTACAGCATTTAACTTTTCTAGCACGCAAGTAAGAGGAGAAGAAAACAAAGACTGGGAGAGGTTGCTGAGTTGCCTCTTGACCCTGCATTCTGACTCCAACCTCCCTCCTCCTCCCTTTCCTTATCTGGAAGAGATCACAATGTCTGGAGCTATTTCCTTCTTCCTTTGCCTAGATTTATGTCTTCACGTAAACACACAGAGAGAATGGAGATCGGTAGATATACAGACATATGACTGCCCTCTCTCCAGAGCGAGAAATCTGGCTTTCAAATTTCTTCCATTTGACATTCTCAGGCACACCCTCTAGCCTCCAGACCCTTTCATCACCCCATGGTTTCCCCACAAATGCCCGCATTTTCCACTCCCTTGTGCCCCAGTCACTCTCTTGACCTCGTTTTCTTCTTTCAAATGGCCACTTTTCTGTTCTACCCGTCATTTCTGTTCCATAGACTCTGCTTCCCCAAAGCCAAAAAGGATTGGCGTTAAGTAATGCTTCTCTGAACCTGGACAGTGAAAGAGAAGGTTCTGGTTTCAGGCTTGCCTCTACCGCCATCTTCTGACTAGCTCAGGCCTCACATTTCCTTGAAGTACTGATCACTAGAATTCACTTCAGTTCAGTGGCTCAGTCCTGTCTGACTCTTTGCGACCCCATGAACTGCAGCATGCCAGGCCTCCCTGTCCATCACCAGCCCCTGGAGTTTACTCAAACTCATGTCCATTGAGTCGGTGATGCCATCCAACCATCTCATCCTCTGCCGTCCCCTTCTCCTCCTGCTTTCAATCTTTCCCAGCATCAGGGTCTTTTGCAGTGAGATCATTCTTCGCATCACGTGGCCAAAGTATTGGAGTTTCAGCTTCAATATCAGACCTTCCAATGAACACTCAGGACTGATCTCCTTTAGGATGGACTAGTTGGATCTCCTTACAGTCCAAGGGACTCTCAAGAGTCTTCTCCAATGCCACAGTCCAAAAGCATCAGTTCTTTGGTACTCAGCTTTCTTTATGGTCCAATTCTCACATCCATGTATGACTACTGGAAAA